CGGGAGCCGCCAGACCCGACCAGCTGCGCCCGAGCCTCACCGCTAGGCCCGGCCGGTCGAGTGCCGAGCTACGTCAACACTCGGATGCTTCCGATAGGGGCGCTCGGGTATTTCCGGAGGAAACTCGGGTATTTCCGTCTGCCGCTCGGATCTTCCCGCCTGTTTTGAGGCGCATGCGCAGACGCTGTTCGCTCCGCTGCGGTGAGGCGAGGTGCGAGGCCATGGCGCTGGTCGGGCTCCGTTCCGGGGTAGCCTTTGAGGGGTTTGTGGTCGGACTCCCCTCATAGCTGGTGCAGAGCACGGCCAGGCTTCTAGTGCTGGACCAGAACCACCAGTGACCGCCTAGGTAAGCAGTGCTGCCCCTTGCTGAGAGTACCCCGTTCACCGTGGGAGCTTGAGGGACCCTCCTAGCCCTGGAGCCTGAGGGGAGCTGGGCCTCCAGGCAGGCAGCACCGCTGGGTGACTGAAATACCCACAGACTTAAAAATTGCCTTAAAGAATGTCCAGTTGTTTGGTAATTATTTTTATGTGTCTCCAGTATTTATTTATTTATCCAGTATTTATTTATAAACCAATAAGCAAAGCATTTGTAACGTTGTTCTGAAATGTTGTCATTTATTCTTTGCTGGCAGGGAGTGTAATTATGTGGTGGAGGTGCTATTTTACCAGGTGTGGTTCATTGAAATGCCTCAAGACCCCACACCTTTAACATTTACCAGCTTACAGAGTCACAGGTGAATCCAAGTGTGACCAGGGCAAGTGAATTATTTTTGATTTATTCTTCTATGCCCTGTTGATTGCATCAGAGGTAAATGCTAGCATTTCTTGAGTAAACTAAGATTGCATAAAGTGCAGCTGACACTGATTATTTGGGCTAGTGGCTTTTTCAGGTGTCACACTGCATTCATGTGAGGAGAAAAAAACCTGGGGTATCTGGCTTCCATACAGAGTTTTCTTGCCTTAAGTCTGCTTTTCCCACTTACTTCACAGCAGTGCTAAGCATTAATAAGGGGTGCTTCAGCTATGTAGGGATAAAATTTAGAGAGAGAAACTAGCTTGCAGTAAGAGAGTTTCAAATTTGTTGTGAAGAGATAATCCCTAATGGGAGGGCATGTGTAACCTAATCTGAGTTACTCAGAAGATTGAGGACGTACAGAGACACGCACAGGGCAGCTATGGCTGGGAGGGCTTCTTCTGGGCACAGAGCAGATCCATCTGCCCGGAGCTTTGCTCCGCTCATCTCGACCATGGCAATGGTTAATTTTTGTTGCCTCTCTTGTGCGAAGGAGAGGAGCCTGGCACACACGCTGAAACTCCCCTTCCCATGCTTCAAGATGCTTGAAACCTTGACAGTAACAACACAAAAAGCAAAATCAGTGTTTTAATGCTCCCATCCATTGAAGCTGTTGAGTAAATGATCTCTTTGACTTGTGAGGTGCTTTACTGTCGTATAGGTGCTCTAAATAATCCACATTTAAATATGGGACCTTTCACCCTGAAAGATTATCATGCTTGTGTGCTCAGTTCCCAGTTTCTTGTGAATTCATTATGTCCAAGAAATTAAAATTGTAGTGTGTTTTGGGGTTGCTGTGTTTTGGTGGCTGTTTATGTGGTTTTTGTTTGGTTTTGTTGTTGTTTTTCTTTTAATCTGGAGCCAAAGAGACCAGAAAATTCTGAGTAATGTTTTTTTAAAAAAAGGCAGTCAGCTGTGTCCAATTTAGTGGTTATTATCAGCAAGAAAGTTGTTAGAAATCTTAGGTCTTCACATCTTGGGGTGATTTCCCTTGAAGTGCATATTTTGATCTTTGCCAATTTAAAGAAATTCTTCCTTCCCTTGTTCATCATTGAAATGTCACTTTACTGAAAGTAATACCCCCTGCCCCTATATTTTGAGCCAAAGGTAATGCCCGTTCTCTCACCAGCTTAAGCTGTTGGGACACAATCTTCTCTTCCAAGGACTCCAGCAATAGCAGCAGCTGATCCTCCGTGAGCTCTGCGGAATTAAAACAGGCTTGTACCAAAAAAACCACCTCAAAACCCCACCAGGGATAACTGATGAGATGTGCAGGGTGACCATTGACAACTGTAATGTGGAGTGCAAAGACTGAGGGGGTTGAGGGGAGGGTCGAGCTGTATTTTGTGGCAGCCTTGGGAAAAGAACCCTGGCATTTGCACTGCTCTGTGTGAGGTAATCTTGCTGTCTTTACCCACATTTTAATTCTGATTTCAAGCCCTCTCTTTGAGGATCCCCTTGTGGCAGACTGTTGCTGAGTAGCAGCTCCCACAGACAGGTCTGTGCTCTCAGCATAAACCACCTTTACTCCCACGATCTAAGAAATGATTTTACATAAATTCTTTTCACATCTCTCACACTCTAAGTTTTCTATGTTCTGCTTGTCTTCTCTTAATTTCGGGTGCTACTGGATTTCTCATATTAAAACAGCCAACCTTACCATCTAATGCATCGAGGGTGTAGGTGACTGCTCCTGCCAGCTGAGGGAGAAGATGTCTTGAAGTGTTCTGCAAGCAGCTCAACAGGTCTTTTAACTCCGGGCTTTCTGTTTTCAACTCACAACTACCAGTTTCATCAAGAACTGCTTCCATCTGAGGGATAAGAGAAAGAAACGTCAGGATTTAAGAGAAGAGGCTGCAGATAGTCCCTTCCAGCCACACTACAAACGTGTATGGACAGACATGTAATGTGTCTCCCCTCCCTGAACTATTTGAGGCTGTAATCGGTGCTACAGCATTCACGCTGGCTCCAGAACATTGAATTTAAATGGTTTGATACCTTCAGGTAAATCTGCTAGGTCACAGTCAGAACATATTTCAGCAGCTGACTCTGTCCTGAACACCTTCTTTCTTTGTGTGGTGATGATGACCAGACAGATGTCTGAGGGAGGGATTTTTGGGTTGAGAGTTGTGGCACATGAGAGGGGATTTTTGGAATGAGATCTGTAATTCTGGTGTCTGTATTTACAAATCCTGACAGTAAGAAGAACTTTGCCTACTTTCCGGGTCAGCTCTTCAAAGAGGTTCCTGTCTCTCATTGCAGCTTTGATGGCTTTTAAAAATACGATGAACAGGTCAGAGGACAACTGGGAGAGAATGTGACAGTTCTCTTTAACTTCTTTCTCCACTTCTCCTAGTTTTCCTTGTGAGAAACCTGAGAAACCCAAAAACATTCAAATATGTCACTTTGAAACTAGGTAATCTCACAGTAAGTTCCCTGGTGCTCCTAAATTTAGAATTTGAAACATTTCTATGAATATTTTCAAAAGCAGTATGCAATTTTGAGTTGGGCAGTTGTCACTTCTCAGATAATAGGCAGTGTTGTCCTGTAAATGCATTGCTTTTGGTGGTTTGTGTTTGTCCTGGGAGACTCCTTCTTATCCAAAAGGGGAAAAAGTAATGCAAGTAGAAGTAGTAAAATACATTGCTTACCATCAGATGCCAACAGTGATTTGCTGCTTAGACTGGAATAGTAAAGATCTGCAACAGGATAAAAAGGGCATTGCTGACTTAGAAAAAGGCTTAAAGCCAGGTGGATATTTCTGATACCAGGGTGGTGGTTGTGCAGGAGTCGGTTGTTTCTTTGGGTTACCTACCCCATGATCTGTCCATAATGGCCAGCTGGATCGCCTTGAAGGCCAGGGTGCAGCCCTTGGGAATAGTTATGCTCTGTTTGCGCTCTCTGGAGCCCTGGTGAAGGAAACAAATCATGTTACTGTGCCTGGATGGCGTGCGGGTGTTCAGGAGGGAGATTCCTGAGCCTGAGGAGAAGTCAAACCTCTGCGCAAAACTTGGCGTAGAGCTGGATCATGAAGCTCCCCTCTCCCTTGATGGATTCCTCGTAGCTGGCCGCCTCTGAGGCTGCAATCGTTTCGTGAACCACGTATAACTCTTGTTCTGTTTTCTGTAGTTGTCGAATGAAGGAGTGATTCATGTTGATTTTTCTGAAAGAGAAAAACGATGCAATTTCCTGGCTGTTTTTCTGGGAGTTGGCAAAAATACGGTGGTCTACTTGGAGCCAAATGCTTTACGCTTGCATCCTTTCCCACATTATGAGAGTACAGGTACATATAGCAATGTCAGGGGCTTCTAGGGGAAAAAAAGGTGTCAGAAAATGGGCTGCAGCTCTCGCTGTCCTCAGCACATTCCCCTTCAATGTCTGCAGGGACTGGGACAGGCTGATGTGGGTGATCTGTGTGCTCCTCTCCAGGCACAAACCCTGAGAAAAGATGCCTCTGTGCTGAGGTGTTCCTGCTTTCTGAATTACAAATAAATCTGTAAGCATTGGAAAGCTGTGGGAGGAATCTTTATCTCCTCTTTCCTGTCCTCCAGAAGTGTGCACAGGTAGGCAGAATGTGTGCTCTTGGCTCTTAATCTTGGGTTCTGGCTGTTGAAGAACCATTGCATGAGCTGGCATAGGGTAGGGGATGACCGGAGGGCATGTTGCCCCTTCGTGTCCACCTTACCTCTTTATTTTCAGACAGTCAAGTGCTTGTAGTGTAATGTGGTTCTTCTCCGTTTTGATGGCCAACTCTTTGGAGATGGAGACAGCTATTTTAATCTCTTTGCTTACAGAGTACACACGAAGGTGCAGGTTCCCGTCCATTCTGTCACTGGTGCTTTCTTGGACTGTAACTTGCATTGAATCCTCACCACCTCCACTGGGAAAGGGGAGTTCTGAAATAATTTGATGCATTAGCTTAACGGACTCAGTATTAAAACTATTGTGCACACAAGAAAGGTTTTGTCTGTGGAAATTGTGAGCTGAAGATGGATAAATGAGGGCTTTACCTGTGCTTTTATCGCCTTCTCCAGGCAGCAGCATGTCTTCGAGTCTGTACCACGTCTGTTTGTAGGAGGGAGATGGGTGGAATGTGGTTTTTCTTTTTCTTACCACTAGGCAGAGGGGTCTGAAATGTTCATTGTCCAAGATGCTGGGGACTGGGATCAGGTCTCCCGTTGAATCCATTTGATTTGCTATGGCTTTGGTGACTCTCTTAAACATTCTGCTGCTGCTGGATGAGGTTTTGAACTGAAGCAAAGTGAACTTCGGCCTTAGGAAAGAGGCAAGACAAGATTAGCAAAATGACTCCAAATACAAGCAGAAGGTTGTAACAAAGTATCTGCTACTTTAATTATGAAGAACTTTTCACAGAATCACAGAAAGTTCGGAGTTGGAAGGGACCTCGAAAGATCACCCAGTCCAACCCCCCCACCAGAGCAGGATCACCCAGACCAGGTCACACAGGAAGGCGTCCAGGAGGGTTTTGAATGTCTGCAGAGAAGGAGACTCCACAACCTCTCTGGGCAGCCTGGTCCATGCTCTGTAACCCTTACAGTAAAAAAGTTTTTCCTCATGTTCAGGTTGAACCTCCTACGCTCCAGCTTGCACCCATTGCCCCTTGTCCTGGCATTGGACATCACAGAGCAGAGCCTGGCTCCTTCCTCCTGACATTCGCCCGTTACAAATTTGTAAACATTAATGAGGGCACCCCTCAGTCTCCTCTGCTCCAAGCTCAAGAGCCCCAGCTCCCTCAGCCGCTCCTCATAAGGGAGATGCTCCACTGCCTCCGGCATCTTTGTGGCCCTGCTGGACTCTTTCAAGCAGTTCCTGTCCTTGAACTGAGGGGCCCAGAACCGGACACAATATTCCAGATGCGGTCTCACCAGGGCAGAGTAGAGGGGAAGGAGAATCAATGGCTCCAATGCTTTATCTCATTCTCACACTCTTATCATTCTCAGCCTACTTGCCTCCTCCCTAAGCTCCACCACTATCTGGAGGAGCTCCTTTACTTGGGCACACCTCCCAGAGGTGTGCTCACTGCTGCTGTCAGACATCGGCGTAAGAGCAGGGCACACCCTGCAGCTCGACACCCGAGTGGCAGCGTGCTCCCACCATTGCTCTGGCTGGCGAGCTGCATCTGCCTTGGTGGGTGCATGGCTGTGGGAGGCCATGGCTTTCTGCATGGTGATAACCATTGCTCACTAGCTGCTGTGGCTGAACCTCAGCACCCTGCCCACGCAAACTGCCCCGCCACACTCTGTTTGCCCGTCCTGTTCACCGCGCTCCCTGGGGGCTGCTTTTCTACCTGAGGGGATTAGCCGTCACTCTTGTCCAGCACTGACCGCCATCAGGAGCTCACGTTTTCCTCTCCGAGAAGGGGGGGGGTCGCTGGGGCACCCTCTCTCTCCCTGCGCTTTTTTGTCTTCACGCTTGGTTTTGTTTTTCCCACGGTTCAGCCACTTTTGTCACTGGTCCCCCGGTGTGATCCTCCTCCGCTCTGGAGCTCTTCACCTCGGTGACTGCTGGAGAAATGGCGCTACGCTGGGTTTTAAACTGCCGCTGTCGCTCTTGTCCCCGCCCACAGTGAGTCAGGGCTGACTGCTGTCAGGAGCTCACCTTTCCCTCTCTGAAGGGGGTTGCCGGGACACCCTCTCTCTCCCTGTGCTTTTTGCCTTTGCGCTTGGTTTTGTTTTTCTCGCGGTTTAGCCGCTTTTGTCACTTAAGCAAGGTCCCCCGGCATGGTCCTCCATGTGATCCTCTGCTCTGGAGCTCTTCACCTTGGTGACTGAGGTCTGATTTCAAAGTCAGTAATAACCTGAAAAAGCCCACATCAGTGCAAGGACACAACTGTCATGGGATTGTTGGTAGGGAAGTGTTTGGAGAGGCAGGAGGATGAGCTGTGGCTCACTGAGGGGCTGCTTTGGGCTCATCCCCCTTTGCTGATCAGCTCTTTATCATGGCTTGCTCTTTCTGGGGGTGCTGATCTTCAGCACTGCTACTATTCCTTCAGTAAGATAATCTGTTGTATATACCATACATGTTGTACATACCATCATAAATTTTATTGTTAGACGTTGCTTCTTAACCTAGGATCTACCATGGTCCTAAATGCTTTACTATTTAATTAATGCCTGGCCCTGATATAAGCCTAAAAAGCAAAAAGCTTGAGCAATTTCCTGCTGGTTTTGCTGCTTCAGTGATTTCCCCGTGCATCGCGCTGCCTGGAACGGCTTAGTGCTGTTTTGAAATAGAGCTCTAGAAAAATTATTTTGGCAAAGTCATAACTGCAAGAAAGTGGAAGCGCTGAGAGGTGAGTAGTGGGTAGGGGGGATGTTAGTGAGCTTATTCTATGGCAAATCTCCCCCAAAATATTAAAAAGCCCATCCTAGCACAGGTCCTGTGCTCTGCCTGCACTCCTGTGTAGTACGGCTGAGAGGCAGAAATGAAGTCGCTGTTGGTTTCCTGTTGCAGCTTGCTTTCACTGCAGTTTCGCTTCAGCTTCTTGCTTCAGTTGGTGTACGTAGGATGTGATAAAGAAAAACTTTGATCTGTAATGAAAAAGCTCCCCAAGAAGAAAAGCATGTACCCTACTTGGTTGAGTTGTGTTAGAGGGGAGATAGTGATCCCCATGCACAGCTCAGAGGAGCAGATGGGGGGATGCCTTCCCTCTCTCTGATGTCCCGGAGGGGTCTGAAAAAAGACTTAATCCGATTCTTGCGGAGAGCAGGACCGTCCCATCCCAAAGTGTGGTGTGCTGTATGCAGCAGAGCTGGGGAGGGGAGAAAGTCTTGTGTGCTTAATGAGGGATCGTTTTAGTAGCTCCTACAGGACCCCTTCCCTTGGGAGACCTCAGAAAGGGATTAAAAAGGAAACCAGAACACTTAACAGTTTGTTCCACCCCTCTTCCATCCCGAAAGCTCCTAAAAACATACTCGCCTGTTTGTGGAGCGAGCGGTGTCTCCTCTGCTGCTGGTGGCCCTGTGCGGAGCAGCTGCTGTGCTGCTGGGGAGATCTGGCCTCTTCACAGCAGCGGGGCAGGGGAAATGTGCACTTCCTGCCTTTCTGGGTAGAGAGCCGGAAACATCAGCTAAATTAAGGTGCAGAGGGCCTGTTGATTGCATAATTCTTCCTCCAAAAAGTTTTGGTCATTGACAGGATTCAGCCTGCTGTGATCTCCACAGGGGCTGTGGAGGACTTGAACTTGTCCTTGCCATTCCTGACAGATTTGTTTGATTTCTAGCGTGGGTCTGGTTTGCCTTTACACTCCTGTTAGGATGAGGAACAGTGTGTTCTGGTTTAGGGGGATTTCGCTTGGTGGGTCTGGATGTGCCATTGGTATTTAATTGCTGTGCTTGTTTAAAAGCAGAACTTCTCCATGTAAAAATTTAAGGAACCAAAGACAAATTCGTACATGAATACTTACTTTATTAGTTTCCCTTAGAATACTGTACAAAGGAGTAATAAAAATATTCACACTTTATTTTAGAAAGTTCTCTACATGAGACTTCTGTATACACAGCAAAAAGAAGGGCTACTGGAAAAAAACCCTAAAACTATGTACAGTGTCAGAATATTCCATTAAGAAAAACCCAACTAATTTAGCTCACTTAAACTGATCCAAGGAGGATACCTATACACAAACACCTGCATGCTTAAAAGATATTATAGGCAATGATAAAGCAACGTAAGTCACAATCAAAAATATTAATGTGTTAACAATGGGCATCAGCTGCTGTCCCCTTCTCAAGGGCCAGTACCATGCTTCTATTAAAACAAACAGAAAATTAAACAACGCTTTAAAAAAAAAAAGTACTCAGGAACTAAGTAGCCCCACATCTCAGGTTTTTCTATATTTTTTTAAAATTATTTTAAAGGCTTTGTCCTGCAGAGGGTGGGAACTGTGTGACACCCTGTTGGCTATGGGACCCCTCGTTCAGAAGCATCGCGCCGCAGTATTGGATTGTCCTCTGCCTTCCCTGCTGCAGTGACTGCCACCAAGACTGGATAGGGCAGGGGCATGGCTGCTGCCAGTGCCTCTGATCGCTCAAGGGTTGGTTTTCAAAAGCTTTTCCCCTTTGGCATTCATGGCAGCACAAATAGGACAAGCATTTCAAGTACCTGCTCGCCCAGTCATTGTTTCTCAGCCACGGGCCCCAGCCCACCTTTAATTTTCCAGCTGCTGTTTGCCCCAGTAGCTCTACAGGGAGCCAGGACAAGTTGGAGAGAAAAATGTCAAGTGTGCTATGCTCAAGATCCATTTAAAAACAACAACGATCCATTATCTCCTTCTCACAGGCACCTGGAGAAGATTCCAGTCTAAAACAATGGACAGTGCACTTGGGGTCTGGTTCTCCACCCAAAGAGTAGGCTTCGCCCCTGGATCACTGCTGTTACTTGCAAGTATGCACCTGAAAACCCCTCATCCTCTCCACGCTGCCCCAATAGCCGATTTCCCAGAAAAGGGCAATCCCATGAGAGTGTTAGTGTTTTCACTACACTCCAGTTTCTTTGTGTGCAAGATTAGCCTTAGAGTGCTGAACTCACTTCTACATGAATTTAACAAACACAAATAAACCAGAAGTGGATTCAGCACAGAGGTCCTGGAGACCCAGAACTTTGTCCCTTACTTCCACACCACTGCAGTGGCAAGGATCAGGCAGGAGTTCAGTCGGGTACCGCTCGCCCCCCGTGACACTGACGCGAAGGAGCCGCGCAGCTCGCGTGTGCCCAAAGCTTACACTTAAAATTACCTCAGGTACACCTAACCAGTAGCAACTGCAACTGTGGTTTAATTACAATTAACTTATGATTTCTTTTTCTATTTTTGATTAATTCTGATACCTACCCTTAAGATGGGATCTTACCATCAGTTGTGTAACTGTTCAAGTAATTATTTATCTTATGTAGATACTTAACACACCACATAATTAACATGAAATCTTTTTTCAACTCTCTCATTTCCATATTTTTCCAGTTTTCATTTATGCTTCCCTTGATTGGATTAACTGTAGGAATCCAAGTTAACTTCAGATGCTCTGTGGCAAAAATGCCACCCTTGTATTGTAAAGAATGTCATTTGCCAGGTAGCACACATCTGTAATGGCTACTTTAATTATTGGTGTGAACAAGGTAAATCAGGAAAGCTTACTACTGTAACTAAGGCTTTGCCTAACAAGAAGTTTTAGACTTCAGGCTTTAAAAACTGCCTTTTTGAGTAGTTTATGATCCCATTCTGTTTTACAGTTGATCTTTAATTTAACAAAACAGACTGCAGTGTCAGTTAAGAGCACAAATTACGTGTTCAAACCCTCAGCTGTTGTAATGCCAAGGCCTTTGAGGAAACTGTGTGAAGTGCTGAGAAGAGCTGACCTCTGCCTTCAATTTTTATTTACGCTAAAATTATCAGAACTGCTCTGACATTGTGTAACATTCATATACTTAGAAATAATCAGTATATGTCTATGTAGCAGTAATGTTTTTAAGCATAGAGCGACTGTTTCTGTTGCAAAAAAGTTTGGTTTTGCCCTGGTAGTTACCAAAATAAATAAGTTTTTCTCTCCTCTGCAGATTTACCACTGGTGTAAGTTGTGTCTGCGGGCAGATTTTGGATCTGTTAAGCAATACACAGCCTGCGTTAGGGACAGATGCTGCACCTCTGCGGGCAGCCGCCTTCCTGTGAGCATCGATCAGGCATCGATCCTGTTGATTTCTTGGTCATCTCAAAGATACTTAGCTGATTGATGAAATATCTCTATTTTGAAAACAATTTGTTTCAAAAGTCATTGTCTAGTAGCTTAAAGAGTATATTAGCTTTAGGGTATATAGTACCTTAACTAAACCAGCAGTCGTTATCTCACGGAGGTTAAAAGGTTTAACCCCCATCAAGTAAATGGTGCATCTGTCAAACTCCCTCACTGGAGAACAGCACTCGTATCAAGCCAGACTTTTTTTCTCTTTCTACCTTCGTGAAAACTTCCTTCTAATTTAAAATATTTCCAAACATACTAGGTAATGATTCTCTTTGCATTCCAGCAGCCCTCTGAGGTACATGCTAAATGCTTCTCCCTTCTCTGCAGCAATCTGACAGCAAGTCTGAGATAAAGAAGTAAAACAGCTTGCCTAAAATTATGCACGCAGTAGTACTAGATCTTATACACAACCTTGAAGTTCCCCTATCCGTGTCCTGCGCTCAAACCATCAAACAGAGCTCAACAATATCCACTATGACCTCTAAAGCTAGAATTGGCTAATGCAGGAGCAAAAATAGCATATTTAAAATGTTTATACCATTGTCAAAAGTGTGAGACAACATAAGCACTAAGACAACAAAAATACATGAGTTTACAGGGGAAGCATGAGGAAAAACACATTTCATCTGGCACACAACTCAAAAGAGAAACCGATTGCTTTGAACAGTAGAAAGCTCTCAGCCAGGGAATCTGAACCTGCAAACCTACTTTATTCAGGTGGTAGCTTCACGGGGAAAAAGGCTCAATTTTGTTCCTGAATAATCTGATTTTAATGACCCATTGCATCCTTCTTTTGGTCACTTCAGGCTGCTGCTGGTGCTGCTCGTTAGTGCTGCTGTCCCACAGCTCCCTTGCCAGCCATCACTGGGGCCTGAGGGATGCTGCTGCTTGTGCGTGGAGCCGAGCGAGACTTCCAGGTAAGCCAGAAATCAAACACTCGCTTGCCTCGAGTCAGATACTGAGCTAAGGCCACTGGCAAATCCCAGTAACACGTACACAGGCTTAAGAGACTGAGGAGAAGAATCCCAATTACAGTCACAAACTGGTGACAGCAAGCAGTTGTAGGGCTCTGGTTTGGCCTACACCAGTTGGTCTGCGGCTTCTCCCCATGCTCATGTACCAAGTAGCTCAGTGGCATTTGTTGATCATGAAAATGACCTGCACCCCAGCCCTTAATCAGATTAAATTCTGTACTGCCTGAGTGCTCGGTGCGCTTTAAAATTAGCGGTTTGAGTTACCCAGACAGATTCTGGTACAGGCTGAAAATAACCAGTATGATTTAGGATCTGTTGACCTTTTCCCTGAACCACACGAATGGTACCATAGAAAATAGAAAGCTTTGTCAAGTTGCAGGTCATTCCTTCCTGTACTGTTTTTAGTAGAAACTTCCTTTCTCCATGGCGTGAAAGATTGCAAAATAAAAATCTGTCATTCTCTTCCCCCTCCCACTCCCCTGCCCAAAAATGGAACTCAAACCCCGAAACAATCAAGTATTGAGAAAGTCTGGCTGTATCCCTTTGAATTTCCCCCACGTATCGCTTAAAGCACCTAGCTTCAGAAAGGGAAATACATTTTAAAGTGCATTTACCACAGCAATAGTACCAGCACTAAAAGCTTTTCCCCTCATCCCTACTCTCTTCATTCGATGTCTGAGACAGATGAAAATCTCCCCAGAATTTACACTCTTTGTACCTTGAAGTCTCAGTGTATCTGCATCTATTTATGACACTGGAATAAAAGAAATCCAGCGTCCCTCATCCTGCTCCGCACTAAACTCTACTCTGGAGCTTGTTTAGATTTATTGGGCACGAGGATCCAGCATGCGGTATGTGTCTATTGGATACTGCATTTAAACAGCCGCTGTGAAATTGTATCCCAGTGTGCGTGGGGGTGAGGAAACAGGGCTGGAGAGGAGGAACTCCCCCCTCTCCCCTGCTCCTCTGCCATTCGCTCTGGCCACGCGGATCAGTACTTGTTGATCCCAAAGATCCGGACTCCATGAAACTGAGGCAGTTTGGGGATCAGGACGCTCATAAGGGAGATGGTGTTGATTATGAAGTGTATCCGGTCATACTTGGTGTAAAAGCTGGTTAGAAAATACCTGGAGAGGAGGGGAACAGGGAGAGAGGAAAACAATTACAGAAATTAATGTGTCTGTTTCCCAGATAGAAGCGGTGATGGGTGCAGGTGCGTGAGACAGCTCAATTACCCCGAAGTACTCACAGGACGATGGGCATGATGGTCAGGAACTTTCGGGACGCCGTGAACTGCACGCCGTAGTCCATCTGCTCCCAGTGCGTGAGCAGCCGCGCCTTCCCCTGGTCAGGGGTCTCGAAGGGGGTTCCTTTCACGGTGTGGAGGAAGATGTACATGCTCTGCAGCAAACAAAAACGCGGTGTGAAGTGCATGGAGTGTTACCTGCGCCCCTCGCCATGCCGCCAGAAACGTCACGGCTGTGGGGAGCTTGCAGCGGCGCGCTGTTCCGCTAGAGGGATGCATCGTCACTGTGGAGAACGTAACGTGCTCCAGCGCAGTGAGAGCGAGGGAGGCCGCTCGCCGGGGCCAGCTCGGGCTTGGCTGCTACACGTGAGGCCTTTCCTTCAGCTCCTGGGCGTGCGCCAAGAAGGTGTTTGCGAGATTACAGCCCTGGGATCTCTGGGATCAGGAGATTAGTGTGGGCTCGCTCTGCCGTGCAGTGGTAATGCTAAATAAACGCTTTCTAGAAAAGCGCTGGTAGAGCTGCGGGCAGCGAGGGTCTGCAACCGCTCTGATTGCCAGAACCTCCTGAGGGGGAGCGCAAGTCACAGATAAACAGTGAGTGCCTGGCTGCATTGCATGGCTTTTGAGTACGGCCATTGCTGGCCTGTAAACTCCCTGCTGCTCCCAGGATTGTTTAAGCTGCCAGAGAGGGGGAAGGAGCAGGATGGAAAGCAGGCAGCTTGTGAACAGAGGCCCGAGCAGCTCTGGATGGTGGTTTTGTGGTCGTTTGTTTTGTTTGTTTCCTGCTAGAGACACGAGTAATGTTATTGGGGATGAGGGTCCCCAATAAGGGTGCCATTTCTGTCTCTGGAATATTCTTGACCCGAGATATTATTTAAAATAAAGGACAGAAAATCAATTGCTGCATCTCTGAAGTATTTTGCCCCCTGTGCCTGAGGGTGAGCGGCTGCTGAGGGGTCTGCTCCTCAGCTGTAGGACCCAAGCACATGGTAGGATGGCGGATGAGGCCAATTCAGATTGTATCAAGTGAAAGCTGCTCTGCCAGCTCCTGTGGCCTTGTCACAGCTGTTCCTCTGTTAAGGGGCAGTGACAAAGGGACTGACCCTGCAGGCAAATGAACTTGGTGTCCCCTCTGAGCAGCCTCACCAGATGTTTGCTGTCTCACTGGCACCTAGGTTGGATTTAAACATATGACCTAGGGGCAAAGGTGCAGGCTGAGGGGTGGAGGTTGAGTAACTTACCCTGTATTTTTGGAAATACAGAGAAAGGAATCGTTTCAGCAAGGATCTTACTCCCAAAAGAGCACCTGGTGCTGAGAGATTACCCCGCTGTGCCCCAGGGAAGTCACGGTCCCCTTACCATGTTGTGGATGATGTTTGTAAGAGTCCAAACCACGGGGACACTGAAGAAGGGGATGCTGAGGAGCACGACGTGCAGCAGGCCGATCCCAAGGACGTAGGACAACCAGATGCCCCGGCTGTTCATGACACGGGTGTTGGGGTTCACCTCGCTGTGTGCTGTTCCCACGTTCATGTTGGCTCTGGCGTCAGACAGCCACCCCTGAAACTAAAGCAGAGCCAGGTCAGCGCTGGGATCGCCAACCCTCCGTCCAAATTCCTCAGGTAATCACCGCAGGGGTGGAGCACCCTCTTGCCGTTCAGCAAACCTGAAATCTGTTGTTTGCTATAAAAATATCCCAAGTGACTTCACTTCTCTGCACCTCATTATTTCCATTTGTAGAGCTGACGTTTCTGAGGGGAGGCTAAATCCGGGAGCGGCTGAGATTTGGGAATATGTGTGGGAAGCCGTCTGTGACAGGAGCTGCTGTGATCTGCTGAAACGCTTTCCTGAAACCAAGGTCAAGGTTCAGCCCCGTGATTGCCTGACAAGACTCGAACAAATACTTCTAAGTGCTTTTTAAGTCATCATCACAGTAATCACGGAAGCACTCAGCACATGAAGCTTCTTACAGGTTCAATACACCTTAAACCCAGAACACGAGGATTTGGGGAGTGAAGATGCAGCAGCTCTGTATCAACAGAGCTCCTAATTAGTTCAGCTATACTAACAGGCTTCTGCACAGCTCTAGAGGCTTCCTGCTCTGGCTTACATGTTTAGCCTTCCAATTTAAGACTTATGGAGGGTGGGAAAGTAACAAAAAAATTCCCCTACAGGGAAGGAGTGAGGATCTTGACCATAAAAAGTCGGAGATAAGGAGGCAAAGTGCCACCAGGAGGATGTTTCAGTAGCAGAGCTGCAGAGGAGATGGCTCTTCCCCCACCTGGAAGCAGCAGCTGCCACGCAGGAGGAACACGGAGATGTTTTTCTAAACACCACCAGGAAGATGAGGAAGCAAGACTGTGCCATCCCTCAGAGCGAGGTTCCGGAGTGCCCCAGGGACAGCGCAGGTATTGGAGTGGCTTTTTGGGCTGCCAGAGCAGCAGCAGGACTCAGTCAGCTTTGAGGCTTTCTGGGAAGACGAGAGCTCTGGTTTAGTGGTTTCCAGGGATGACAGAAAACAGCACAAACTGGAACGGCTGTAAAGCTGAATATCTTTACACCGAGATCAGGGAAGTTCTTGTGTAAAATCGTCTTTGTCTGCGTCCCACGGCAATGTGGGTTTGTTGGAGGATGTGGTCCGTCCACCCTTGGACGGGGACCCCGAGGCGCGGGTGTTTCCTGATGTCCAGCCTTGTGCCGTGCTGCTCTGGTCCCCACAGCTGGAAGCCGCCGTTGCTGCTCTCTCCAGGTCTCGGGAGGCGAATCCCAGCCAGCCCCAGCATTACTCTGTCTGTGGCTGCCAGCTGTTCCCGCTTCCTTTGGAGCGCCGGGCCTGGCTTGTTTCAGATGCTGGCGCTCTCCCCTCTTCCAGGGCCAGGACTCAGGCGATCGCTTGGCTCCTGGGACACTCGCAGTAACTTCCTGGCCTCTTCCAGCCCCCCAGGTGGCTCTGGGCTGAGCTGAGCCTACCTCTGCTACCCAGAGGCTGATAGCCAGAGGTTTTTATGACCAGAAAAGAGGTTTGTGGGTCTGTGGAGTGCTCTTTTTCATCTCCTTGGTCAAAGGATATCAGTGACTGGGATATTCCACAGAAAAGCCCAAGGCTTTGGTCTGGAAATGGGACTGAGAGCAAGGTCAGCACTTCAGAGCTGCAGGGGAAGCAGCTCCCTCCTTACCCTGGTGCAACTCCCAATGCTTTCAGAAGGAAATCGAGGGGTTGCGGCGAAGCAGAACATGGGTCAAAAAAGTCAGATTGTTGCAACAACAGCAGCAAAAGCAAACACCCCCGTGGAATGTGTAACCAGGAGAGCTGTCTGCCAGACGTAGGAAATAATTCTGGGTTTGGTAAGGCCTCAGCTAGAACAGCGTCCAGTGCTGGGAGCAGCTGGAGGGAGGTCAGGGCAGAGCAGGGGGAATGAAGAGAGGTGGAGGAAAAACACGACCTGCAAGGACGGACTGGAGGAAGCAGATTTGTTTGGTCTGGAGGATGCTGAGAGAGGCTGAGGAATGGTCCTCAAACACCGCGCAGCGCTGAGAAGGACCCGTGGCAGCTGGAGGACGGATGGAGCGGACTGCCTGTGGAAAGTGACTGCTGCCCTCGCTCTTGGCCGTAACATCGAGTTTAATAAATGGTTAAAAAATTAAGGAATGGGGGTTGAGCAGGTGGCTGCTTCAGGACCCGCTTCTCTTGAAATGACTGTGGCTAACGGCACAGCAGCTCTCTGTTTGGGGACAACCACGAGTGCACTCATCAAAAACTCATGAGCGCCTTTGGCTTGGTCCCCTCTGCACACAAGGGCAGCTGCAAGTCTGCAGCTGGGCAGCAAGGGGCCAGACTTAGAAGCCGTTTAGATGCAGTTCTCCTCCCTGTGCCTCAGTTTCCCTGCTTGTAAAAACGAGGAACTGCTAGAACGTACAAGAGGTGAACTCATTCTTGCAAGAAAGGTATGGAGAAGTTGAGTGTTGGGCCTTACATGAGGGTAATTCTGCCCCCTTCTCCACTTCTCTTCTTCTCCGCCTTAAAAATATTTAATTTGCCAATCTTTGTCATTTCTGACCTGGTGTTTGCAGCCTTTGCCCTGGCTCTGTGCTCACTGCAGACTGCACCCACGGTGTTGCAAAAGCCTGGCTGAGAGAGCGTGAGCTCCGATCCCTACCCCCATCCCGGATCCCTCGTTGTTTGCTTTGATTTCACCCTGGGGATTTGTTCACCTGCAGGAAAAACACAGCAGCAGGAGGAACTCCAGCCCCCCCTCACAGCTGGCTGCGAGCTCTGCTTTCCCACTTGTGCAGCGGCTTTTTGGGACAGAAAAGCTTTAATGTTTGACCAGAGCGAGTGTGAAGGTCGGGGCTGAGCTGACATTGGACGGTGCCCTTCCAAGCAGGGGAAAAGTTGCAGCTGTGAGAGGCAAACAGCGCTGTCATGAAGCTGAGCCCTTCCTCTGCCTGATCCTTTGTGTCCTGTTCCTGACTTCCTGTCCGTGGGGGAACGCTCTCGTTTTGGGGCTCAGAGCGAGCGTCGGGGCCACCAACTCAGGGTCTGGGGTGACAGCATCACCCCGCTTCGGAGCAAATGGGGAACAAACCAGTACTGGTGCTTTGCCACTTGCTTTGTCACCCAGCGGCTGCTGGGGCACCCTGAGCCGTGGTGCCAGCACCCTGGGGTGCAGCTTTGTCCCCACCTTGGCATTTGTCCCCAGAAGCGTCACCACCGTCTGTCCCTGTCCCTTGGCACCGCAGGATCACACCCGGCACCCGTTCTGCAGGGACTTTGGGAAGGAGGTGCGGGCGCTTATCTCAGCCGATCTTTGCCGGCGCTCCCAGAATGAGATTGTGATCCCACGGAGCCGATTGTGATCCCGCGGAGCAGCCAAGATCCCTATCTCAGCGGCGCTCGCCGCCTCCTAAGCAGATAAATATTTTAAGCCCTTCTTTGGAAGATGGCATCAGCGTTTGAACCGGAGCGTCGGGCACATCGCAGGTGCTGGCAATCCTGGCTCTTCAGAGGAAGCTGAGAGGTGAGACCCAAGCAGTGCTGATTTGGGTCCCGGGAGTCACTAATGGATTTTAAGACGTCGGAGCC